AATTGCGCAGGCTATAACAATCTGTGTGTGTGTGTGTGTGTTTGTGTGTGGTCCTTTCACAGCAGGCATATGGCGGCTTTCTCAACCTGTGCCAAAGGTTTGTTAAGGTGAAGCTACAGTAGCTCAGGACATTCTGCCTCTACATATTAGTATTCTGTAAGTGGGGTCCAAATGGAAGAAATTAGATTTCAGAAAGTTGTCTGTGTGTGAGTGTGTGTGTGTATGTGTGTGTGTGTGTGTGTATGTCTTCATGTCTGAAAGTCTCCTCACACTTTGCTCAATCAGATTACGCTCCTTCAGTGTCGGCTTTTCTTGGGCTTGTCCAGTGTAGCAGCTCCTGTTGTACCTCCGCCCCGTCCAGAAGCCTACAGAAGCCCATTTCCTGCCCCTCCCATCCCGCCTGGGCGACTGTACTATATACACACACACACACACGCAAAGACACACACACACACACACCCTCCCCAACAAGTGTGCAGGAGTGTACTCTGGCCACAAACACTCAGGGTGCGTACTGTGGCTCAGACGGCACAGAGACCGACAGAGGCTGATTCAGCTGCTGAATGATAGATAGAAAAGAAAAGAGGGAAGACGCAAGTGACAGCATCTCTGTGTGTGCGCTTGGCTCCAAGTCTGCGTGTGCGTTTGTGTGCATCAGTCTGTGTCTGTGCCCCAGCAGACAGCGGCGCACAGGTCATCAATGCAACTGTCAGATGATCCAAGGTCGAGAGGGCAAGACAAGGCTCCCCCAGCACTCCTGCCCTCTGTGTCCCAAATGAAAAGTAGCAGCTTCAGCGCTGTCCAACAGCAGGGCTACTCTGCATCCATCTTCCTCCGACGCAAAGACAAGCTGGAACAGGTGAGTGTCTCTCAAACATCATGACATGATTTATTCGACTGTACATCTGCCTTTTGGGAAGTGAGGAGGTGAAGCAAAAACTTGGAAAGGGTCAGCGACCGCTTAATGATTGATCTGACATTATGTATTCTAAGGTAGGGCTCAACAGTTAATTGAAATATTATCAAGCTCACAATATGGCCAAGAAGTCGCAGGAGCTGCAATATTTTTAAAAAAGGTCGAACGTGTCACATCATGCCATTAAATGAAATATTTCCCACCATTTTGAGTCTGGGTTTTTAAAATTCTTCTTCCATGTTTAATTCGATCATCACTAATTCAGTACATAACATTTATGAATGAGCCCGAAAAAGTTTTTAAATTGATTTTTTAAATGCCGTGCCATACACTTTTGTCAGGGTTATCGAGTTTGTCTATGTGAGGCCTGTTTGATAGGAACTGCCATAACTCTTAAATGCACTGGGCGATTACAGCTGAACCGAGATGGCACATCATGCATATATCCATTCCCGCAAGATTTAATGCTATTTTAGTTTTCTATATTGAACTTTCATAAATGTGATTCATTTTGCACAATTCATCCTTGTACAAAGTCCTGCCTAACAGACAGGACTCAGGTCTTCTCCAGCAGTCACAGCTGCCATCAGCAAATTAGATTACAAATTTGATTTTCTTTTTTTATTTTATTCAGTTAATACAATTAGAAGACTGTGCAGGACTGGTGAACGTATGCATTCACTGAATGCTTGTTTTTTTTTCTTTTTGTTTTAATCTTTCAAACAAACATACCACCATCAGATATGTGTGGGTTTGAACCACATATGAACAGCAGAGTGTGGTGTCTGTGGTAATCTTCTGTTACTACAGTTAAAAAGATAGGAAAAAAGGAGGTAGACTGTGGATTTCCACCACTGAGTACTTTCTGGGTTTTTTTCTTGTTTTTGTTTTTTTTCCATCCAGTGCCTTTTCATTAAAACAATCTCCATCATCAAATGATAAACAGTTTATTTCTCCTCTCTTTTAACCATGTGACCTGTTAGTTATAGAGACTGAACCAGTGGCTAACAGTGTTCTGCTCACCGACGGAGCTTTCTGAACAAAACAACTTAACAGGATCATTTTTCACTGCTGGATCCCCATCTGCACCCCAGCCACAGCCCCATTGGCGTGAGGCCCAGCTGTGTCCCGTGGCGTTGCGCCCAGTCAGCCTTCACTCAGCACATATCACCCTGACTATGGCTTTATGGCAACAGAAAAAAAAAAACACCCCATCCTGTTCACAAATGGAAACCTGTTTTTGAGCTTTTGGTGTGAAGGTGAAACACCTACTGTACATTGAGGCATCCTTCATAGGCGCTCACAGGGGTGTGTGTGGATGGGAGGAGATGGATGGTAATTCATGCGCATCTAAACAGCAACAAAACGTCATCCTGAATGATGATAAACGTGTGCCAGTAAGGATAGTCTGCTAAGCAGGTTAATATTGAGCTAAACTGGGTTGAAGTTTTTTGGGATGCCTTGGTGACATATAACAGCTGTTTCAGCAGCTTTTCACTGAGTATCTCTCCATTCTGAAATACTGTCAATGAAATACATCTGAAACAATCAAATCCCTGCTCCTCAAGTCTGCATAATTAGAGAAAAATAAAACATTAAAATAAGTCACTTGACCAATGCACAGATCAAAGAGAGATTCTCCAGCTGTTTAACATAAAGGAAAAGAAAATGGACTGGTGAGCATTTCATTCATTAATATTCACTGTTGCGTCATTGCAGTGATTGTGCAGTCGGCAAATGGTTTATGTCAACAGTTTCCTGGCATGACCACCAGTCACCATCAGCTTAGGACCTTGTTCATGTTGTTGTTCAGCTCAACAATTGTCCTGTAGTGTTGTCTAAGCTGAAAGTCTGTGCTCGTGATGGCCAAGGAAACAGTGAAAACCCACTCCTGTTTGTGACTTTGTCTCTCCCCCCTGTTTGAAAGTGTGTTTGTTTGACCCCATATGTGCAGCTTTGGGAATATTCACCTCTCCTGGGAAGTGACTCAAACATTTCTGTCCCCTCTGTCTCTCTTTTTTTTTTCTCTCACAGAGAAGGTGACCTGGGGCACCTGCCCCAGACAGACACAGCAGGTTTCACTGCTATGACTTTGTTTTGTCGCTAACAATATCTCTCTGACATCTCACACAGCGCCCTGCAAGTTTTATAATTAAAAATCGCACTCTCTGTACTCTTATACTCTTTGGCAATTACCATATCCAATAAAAATAAAATTCTTTATTCTTTTTTTCTTATTATTTAAACATATAAAAATTTAAATGAGACACATTAAGACATTGCCTCAGACTGGGATCTTTTTACTGTGTAATTTAAATACTGAATATCGTCTACAGCCATGCTAGCGCAATGTTCAACTACAGCAACGCTTAAATCTTAAAGTGCTACTGATAGCATGGTTACAATGGCAACGATGGCAATGCTAAAGTCCTGAGCATGTACACCAAATTAGTTGCCAATTTGGTTCTATGCTGATGTTAAGCAGGTATAGTGTTTGTTATGTTCACCATCATAGTTTAGCTTGTTAGCATGCCGCATTGCTAATTAGCACTTAACAGAAAGTACATCCGAGGGTGATGGTAATGTCATTTGTTTTGGTCATAATCTAAAGTATTGGACAAATGAACATTTGCTCCTGATGATGGTGCTATATGAAACATTAGAAGATTTTAAAAAAAACTAGCTATTGATTAGTTTTTATTAGTTTAGTTATAACAATTCTTCTTGAAGGGAGCATAAATATTTGTCCTAAATTTAATAGCAATCCTTCTAATAAAGAAATTTCACTTAAATCCACAAATGCCAACACCACTAGTGTGGCTAAAAATGACATCTTTATGCTTTTTTTTTTTTTAAACACAATCTGGCAGACTGCTCCCTGTTGTGTTTGTTCCACCTACCGACTCCTACTCTAATGGTGTCAGACACAACAACCAAGTAAACTTTTTAGAAAGAAACTCTTCCACCTTCCTTCTATCCTCCTCTCATTTCTCTCTCGTCCCCAATACAGCGCTGTACTCAGACAGCAGCAGCTTGCCTGCAGTTAGCAGCAGCATATGTTGTTTTCTGCTGCTAGGCGTCACGATATTCATTTGTGAGAAAAGGGTTTGGGCGAATGAAAGGGTGGAAGTACGAGAGTATGAAAGTATTTGCATATTTCATTTTTCCTCACCGAGGCCTTTTAATTCTGTGCAATGAGTGCAGAGCTTTGGATTTGAAGCTGTACACAGTGGGAGTGAAACATAAATGAGTGCATGTAAATCTGGTGCTGTACTGAAAAGCACATTTATTACAATGATTTAAACACAGTGGGAATTAAAGCAGATGACACTGCTGACTTACAGTCATCAGTTGAAATTATGAATGGTAGCTATAGGGCTGTTTTAAATTATTTAGTTGTTTCTGGGGAGAACGATGTGCATATGTGTGTGTGTGTGTGTGTGTGTGTGTGTGTGTGTGTGTGTGTGTGTGTGTGTGTGTGTGTGTGTACATATCTGACCTAATGAGTTCAGAACAATTTGAGAGTTTCGCTGCAGCTGTCATACACAGTGGATAACCAATGGCATGTTTTCAGCATCCCTCCCCTCTCAGCCAAGCCCTACCGCTTTCTGCTGGATGAGTTTTGTTCATCAAGCAGATAAAAGAGGAAGATGCAGAGGGAAGAGGATGAGGAGGGAGGAAGAGTGGAGAAGGGGGGGGTGGATGGTTTGCCGGGGCTCTGAGCTACAGCTCTGTATTGGCCATTTCAACAAGAGGGGCTGGTCTTTCTCCATCTCTCCCAGCAGAGAGTGAGCAGCACACATACAGCTCACACAAACACAGACAGAACCACGTCAGATGGACCAGGAGCTGGGTGTGCACACACACATACCTCCCAGGACAGTGAGGAACCAGCAAGATGAAGACAGTAGCGGAGAGTGAAGACATCAGACAGTCCTGCTGGGTAGTGAGGGGTGGCTGAGAAATACAGAGAGAGAGAGAGAGAGAGAGAGAGAGAGAGAGAGAGAGAGAGAGAGATTATAAAGATGTGTGACTGAGCTGCTGTTTCCCAGCTGTCAGAGAAGTTTGAAGGAGTGCTGCTCTCATGGCGGGACCGACCACACAGGAGCCCGTGAAGGTGACGTTTACAACTACACTTGCTTCACTCTGCATAAATTTAATATGATGATGTTCTCACTTTGTCTGTCAGTGGAATTCTAGTGCATGTTAGTGCCTGAGGTTTTTCTTACCGGCTTCCGTAACATCACTGATCGATTTGGATGAAGCCTTAGATTAATTCAATGAATGCATTCTTCAGTTATCCAGTGAAAACACTGATATGTATAATAAACTCAGTTAGGATGTCAATTAACAATTATCATCATATCACTATATCATTATACATTCATTTATGATTTTTATTTCAATGAACTGTCTATAAAATATCAAAAAATAACAAGAAAAAGACCAGATTCCAATGGGACATAAGCTCATGTTGTCAGTTATACCCCAGTGACATTCAGTTTGATGTATGACAGGCAAAAGAAGAAAGTGCTCACATTTTAGAAGCAGGAACCAGCTAATATTTGTTTTTCTTGCTTGATAACTGGCTTAGGCAATTCTATTTTTTCAATTAATCTTTTGTCTATAAAATGTCAGAAAATAGTGAAAAACTGTCACAATTTCCTAAAGCACAAGTTGTCGTCTTCAAATTAATTTTTTTGTCCAGACAACAGTACAAAACCATCAGAAATTGAATCCACTTTTATATAAAAGGTTTGAGGAGCTTAAAACCAGCTAGTGTTTTTTTTTTTGCTTGATAAACAACTTAGGAGATTGTACTGATTATCAAAGGTGTTGCCAAGTAATTTGGCTCGCCTTCAAATTGTATCTTTAGTCCAATCTTCAGTTCAAACCCCAAAGATATAAAACAGACAAACGAAGAAACCAGCTGGTGTTTGTGAGTTTTGCTTGATAAATGACAATTGTGATGATTATCAGCATTGTTGCAGATTCCTTGTCTTTCCACCAACTAATCAACTCACTGTTTCAGCCGCAGTTTCCGTGCTAACTGTGTCAGGTCACTTTCATTATTGTATCTCACTGCATCAGTAGCTCGTGCGCTCTGAAAATCGACAGACCGGTCTCACTCTGTCAGTCTTGTTGAGGCTTTATTTCCTCGCGGCCATGTACACATCCACTAGTCGGGCCTGGTCCTTGACTCTGCTAAATGAAATGAAGAGCTCACTGGTCTCGGTGGACAGCAGAGGGGTGTAAGGTGCATCCGGCTGGCACTAGTCTTTCAGCCTCATTGCCCGAGATAAACAACATAGAGAATACCCCCACACACACGCACACGCACACACAAGCACACACACACACACACACACACACACACACACACACACACACACAATTTTTCTTTTGATTAATGGCGAAAATTTCATCCAAAAGTTGTAGCTGGGAGTCATCTGTCTGAGAAAAGCTACTGCTTAAACAACCAAACTTCACAGCAGGATGCAAGTCATTTGATTGATCGAACACAAAAATATACGTAATGCGATGTTGACGGCTCACAAAACCGACAAAGCCAAACAGGGCAGGGAATGAGCGGAGAAAATCTGTACTCGTAAGCAAAACAGAAGTGCCTAACTGCACTTTTAAAACAGTGGAAATCAAAACTCCTCAGGCTGGATCAAGGCTGCTGCATTATAACCTCTGACCACTCTGTCACTCCACCCTTATTACAACCAGTATAGACAATATAGAGCACACGCATTGATGCACACAAATATAGCCTTTAATATTGCTTGTCATATATGCGCCACTGGGTCTACCCGTCCTGGCACAGAGGTCATAAAATCCCTTTCAGCTGGGATTCACCTGAACAACGAAGAAGGCGTTGTACAGAAAAGCATAAAAACAGAGCTTTCCAATATATCTTATAGCTGGGTATCAATTTGCCTTCTGCTGGAGAGCGTTCCACTTCACTTGTCCTCTGCTCCGTGGTATAAAGTGGGATTTGTGAATGTGGGGGATTTTGGTTCCAGGGCTTTGAATTCTTCAGCAGCCTGAAGAAATGAAAGGTTTCCAATGTCTAAAGAAGACAGAGCTGTTGTTGTATTGATCATGCATCCTAACCTCTAATCAATGGTATCAACTGAGGACATTAACATTTAAGGACTGATAATTTCCTTTTGGACACCCAATACTATCTGCCATGTCAATGTCTTCACTGCAAGTTGTAAACCTGCAGTGCAACAACAGGAGTCGAGCTCTGCAGTGCTGCTGATTAGCCATCACTTACAAATACCATTATATATATACATATATATATATGTGTGTGTGTGTGTGTGTGTGTGTGTGTGTGTGTGTGTGTGTGTGTGTGTGTGTGTGTGTCCACCTCACTTGTCTTCCAGACCCAGCAGAAGTGCATTGCCATCTTTGCCCTCCTCTGCTGCTTTGCCGTGCTGGTGGCGCTGATCTTCTCATCAGTGGACATTTGGGGGGACGATGAGGATGGTATCACAGAGGATAACTGCAGCAGAGACTGTGGGTAAGATGTTCTGCAAGAGCAACATAAGAGCACAACAAGGCAAGAAAAAAATAGGGCTTGCATTCATGTATAGTGCAACAACCTATGAACAAATCATAATTTAGTATCTCAAAGTCTGTTTTTGAGTAACTCATCATTAATTTCTTCAAGTCTTCAAGTCAGAGTGAGCGACTCATAAATGATCAGATGACTGCTCAGGATTTTGCATACCTTATTGCACACCGTGTAGTATCATATTTCCACATGCTCTTACAGGAGTATGACTCTGATTTAGCATTGCACTCCTATGACAATGTTATAATGAACAGTTTAAAAAAAAAAAAAAAGGCTCCATGCACTAACACAAACATGTGTTGCTCTCAGCATCGTGCTTGTGGAGAATATTCCAGACGACCTCTTCCTCCCCGCGGATGGCAGAACCCACTTCCCTCTCTCTGCTGGCTTTCACACACTGTTGGACCAGGCAAAGCACTCGGTTGAGGTGGTGTCACCTGTCTGGGACTTAAACTCTTGGGACATGGAAACAATGCCAAGCACTGCCAAACAGGTACAAAGCCACGGCAGACATTCTGAATATATCCCCCCTACATTCCTACTGAACATGTACCGACTGCATTTCCCAGGTGTCCTGTGAGAGGGAATGCAATTATTTTCAAGTAAATCTGTATATAGCGTCTTAATGAGGTTAGTCTTGCTGAGATATAAGTATTGCCCTTTTAAGACACATCCGGAAGCACTGCTCAAATGCTCAACTACTGTAATACAGAACATCGCTCTCTTCCTCAGGGTCAGCTTTTGTTCCAGAGACTGCTCAACCTGAAATCTCGTGGGGTTAAACTGAAGATTGCCAGCAGTCTGACTAACTCTGCTGAACTGAAGACCTTGGCAGCACACAGTGAGTGGTTGTCACATTTTTATTTTATAAAGGCAATTTGTAAAACCACTGTAGCAAACCAGAATTAAGATTCATATCTCCTAACACCATCATACTGACAGCATCTCTTGTGCACAAACCTTATATTTTAAAGATTTTCCTGTATTTTATGACAAGATTAGTGAATCTTTTAGTAACCTGTTATATGAGAGTAGTACCATATTGCATATATTACATACAGCGAGGAAAACAGATACAAACCTCATTTGCACCATGCAGCCTCATGCAGCAGCTCCACAGCACACGTCACACAACCTTCATGTCAGCCAAACTACACAACCAAGGTCAAAAAATCATAGATGTGCAAATGCACCTGACTGGTTTTCTGTCAAAGCCTTTGCGTCTCAGGCTCCCTGCCCATTTTACCCACTTGTCTGTCAGACAGTCCAAGGCCAACTTCCACGATTCTCCCCATTGTATTTTGTCTAACTTTTCATACTCTCACCACTCTCTGTTTTTCATGTTGTCTAGATGCAGAGGTTCATTTTGTTAATATGACAGCTCTTACCAGAGGAGGACTTCATTCCTCATTCATAATAGTGGATCGGAAGCACATTTACATCGGGAGCGCTGATATGGACTGGAGGTCACTCTCCAAGGTAACAACAAGCATCAACAACATGAGTCTGCTGAGTAATATCAGACGCAAGGATAAATGAGCCTCTGTAGTCAGCTGTGGTCAGCTCTGCAATTCATTTCCAACCTGCAGTATCTTCTGGTCTCTCAGAAATAAAAGCTAGACATACACACATTTAATTAAATGATAACCTTTACGCCCCCACAGGGACTCAAAACATAACACAGAGTCTAGATTAGTTTCGCTGTACACCTGTACCTTTTCATGCAGCAACTCCTAATGGGCATCAGGGATGATTTAAGATTGCTGTCTGAGGCGAGTCAGGAAGACACGTAGCATTTCACTTTGCATTTAGCATGTAATTCACAATGGAGGAGGAACCAGGGAGCATTAGCATACTGTAACTTGAAGTGATTACCTGGCACTTTTCATGCTTCAGTGCTGGCTCGAGGTAGAACTACTGTTGAGTGTAATTAACTAAAGAGCCAGAGGAAAGGAAGGCATGGACACATATATGAATGTGTGTGTGGTGGGCACACACACACACACACACACACACACACACACACACACACACACACACACAGACAAGTAGAGAGCATATGACAGGCAGGCAGGAAAGAAGAGACAAAACGAAGGCAAGGTAGAAATTGTCAGAAATTCATCTTACATGGGTTATTAGAGTAGACTGTCACTCCTTCCTTCTGTTACTCACTAAAATAGAATAAACACAAAACAATTTTTTTGCTTTGTGTAGTTAATAACCAGGCGAGAATATATTTAGAATGACTGTCTCCTGTTCATTTTCATCTTGTTGTTTTTCAGCCATGCTGGTGCTAGTTGCTGGGTCAGCCATGCTTGATCCCCTCACCTTTCATTCAGCATCATCAAGCCAAACTTTCAATTTGTCCAATACTTTGATTTAGTTTATTACATTTATTTGTCAGGCTCCATTAGATTCCATTAGATTAAACCAGTAGCTAATTCCATCGGCAGCCCCTGCCTGCAAAACTAACATTTCCATCAGCCTCTGCTGTTGTGTTTGGTGCTAATTAGCAAATGCTAACATGCTAAAACACTCTAAAAACAACTAGAATATTTACCATGCTCACCAGCTTGTTAGCATTATCACAGTGAGCATGTTAGCACGCTGATGTCAGGATTTAGCTCAAAGCACCACTGTGCCTCACAGAGCAACTAGCCTCAGTGGAGACTCTTAGTTGCTTCACACTCCCCTCAGAAAAAAATGATTCTATTATAGCCTTAAAATCACTACAACATCATCAAATTCTCTCACAGTGTGTTACTATTCTCACACTATAGTCAGCATAATTTAGACTTCCATTAAACTGTATCTTCTCTGTGTATAAAGCATGTCTATCTAGTGAACAAAGCTGCACTTACAACAAACTGCAACTTTTTCTGCTGCATCACCTTTTCCTGTGTGCTCCTTTCTGACACCCCACAGAGGAAAGAACTGGGGGTGGTGGTGTATAACTGCAGCTGTCTGGCTCTGGACTTCCACCGAGTCTTTTCATTTTACTGGCAGCTTCATGAGAGGGACTACATCCCCTCCATCTGGTCAAAGAGAGTTACAGCCCTCTATGGGAAGAATGACGCACTGGAGCTGCAACTCAACGCTAGCCATGCCACAGCTTATGTGTCTGTGAGGAACGACTTTTTACAGTTTTTACAGCATGCTAACACATAAATCGACTCTACACAAAAAATGCACAGACAAGAGGTTATATGTCTGCTACAGCTGGTTCATATTCCTCTTAAGGCACCAGTTTCCTGCCTCTGGACTGATGGGTTAATATTTTTATAAAAGTTTCATTACAAACTAATAACAGACACACACAATGGGTGATTAATCATCTTAATATCACGCTGAGGAGCATCTTGAGTCTGACTATCTCAGTACCTCAGCCTAATTTGACAGTAATGAATCTTGCTACCCTCTAAGCGACATGATGCTTACCACTTGCATTTAAGGCATTTATCATCCTATAGGAATTAATGGGGCCATGCTGTCATTGGCTGCTGGCAACTCCAACCTGCTCTTGTGTCTCATTTCTTCTAGAAATGATACATGGCTGTGGAAATGTGCCGTGTTGTTTTTCTCACCCTCTCTCAAAATGTAAACTGAGACTTTCAGACATTTTGGAAAATCATACACCGCCCCGAGTTTATTGTCACTTTCAGTGTAAGATTTTTCATTGGGAAGTAAATGAACAGATACTGCTGTAAACTCTTGTCTGCTGAAGTGAAGCAAACTGAATATTAAAACTGTCTCGGCCTTTCAGTTTTTCAATTTCTGTGATTTTAATATAATTTTGGGTGCAAACGTGTGACGTATCCTTCCTGCAGACCTCTCCTGAAGTCCTCTGCCCAAAAGATCGCACCAGAGATGTAGAAGCCATTTATCAAGTCATCCAGAGTGCAAAGAAATTCATCTTTATATCTGTGACTGACTACCTCCCTCTGGTGAACAGGAGATTCAGAGGAACCTCAGTCACAAGGTACAGAGTTAAACACACAGACATTAAAACACTGTATGTGTAGGAGCTTTGACCTTCTGTGGCAATATTTAACAGATCACTACATGTTCATGTGTGTGTGCCTGGGCCAGAGGGCAACAAAATCTAGTATAAACTGTATTTCTGTTGGTCTGTGGAAGAAAAATATAGTGTTTCATATTCCACTAACTTGAATTTAAGGGAGATATTGTATGTGTTTATCAGTGCCTTTAGATTGTTAAGCACTGCGTATAGTAATTTTGGTTACGTCACAAGGTACTGGTCACCTATCGATGAAGTGATCAGAGAGGCTGTGGTCCTGAGAGGAGTCCGAGTTCGCCTGCTGATAAGCTTCTGGAAGAAGACCCACCCCCTCACCTTTAACTTTGCCACCTCCCTGAAGTCACTCTGCATGCAGCTGCACAACTGTTCACTAGAGGTGGTACGTGAATTTTAACGGAAGTTGCAGTTTAGTATTTGCAGTGAACATCTGGAAATTCTTCTTGATTCATCATGCAAATATTAAATATTCAGTGGGTGTTGTATGTTTAGATAATTATATTTCTTCAATTTTTTGCAGAGGTTTTTCAGTCACAGAGAGCAAAACGATGACATTCAACATGGACTCAACCACAACAAGTACATGGTGACTGACAATGCTCTCTACATTGGTATGTGTTTGCAACAAATCAGTTTGCATTGAAACTATTTTTTGGGGGGGGTGTTGTTTGCATTACATATTTTCAATGTATTTCATTAGGTCTTGATTTTATTGTGAATTCTAATTTTAAAACATTAGACAGTTCTCTTAAATAAATAGTTTGACATATTTTTCAAAATACACTGCTTAGATTTCTTGCGGAGCGTTAGCTGCAAATATTAATACCATTCTGTCCATTAAATATGAAGCTACAGCCAGGAGACTGTTAGCTTAGCAGAAAAACAGGGAGAAGCAGCTATAGCCTCTGTCCAAAGTGAAAAACATATGCTTAACAACATCTTTAAAGCTCACTAATCAACGTATTATAATATGTTTATTTTATCTGAACTTCTGGTTTTTGCTATTTATGTCTAAAAAAAAAAAGAAGAGAAGCAACAGGTTGCAGTTACAGAGGGCAGCGAATGTCCACGAGACTCCAAGAAGTCCCAAGAAATAGTCAATCACATAACCCTTTGTAAAGTCACAACTTGCTGTTTTCATATATATATATATATATATATATATATAAGGATTAAATAAATAATAAGAGGAGAGGATTGTTTTTACCTTTGGACAGAGCCAGTCTAGCTAACTTAAACTAACTCTGTCCTAATAGGACAATAGGACTAATGGTGTCATTTTAACAGACATTTATGAAGGTGCATCATCTAACTGTTTGTGAGAAAGCAAAGAAACATAATTTTCCAAATTTCAAACTGTCAATTTAAAATGTTTGCTCACATGCACACACACAGACAGAGTTACACAAGCACCAAACTGCATCTATTGAACATGCACGTCAAGAAGAAAATCACAGAACTGAGAACTCAAAGTCATCTTTTCTTGAGATAACATCTGTTTGACACAGTATCTAAGGTTTGCTCTATGTCCACAGGGAACCATGACTGGGTTGGTAGCGACTTTGCCGTTAATGCAGGAGTTGGGCTGGTGGTCCAAATGAATAATAGTCTCAAAGACAGGGGAGCGACAATCCTGGAGCACGTCAAGGCTGCTTTTGAAAGAGACTGGAGGTCGCGTTACGCTAAGAGCCTACAAGGAAGCAAAGATCATCAGGGCAAATACAGAAACCTGCAACAAGTGAAAATTCACACGGAGACTAAGGAGAACGAATGGAACAGCCATTTGTCTTTATGAGCACAGAATGTCTTTTAAATCCTCAGAGATCATTGGCATACATACCAGAAATAGATTTTACCAACATGTATACAATATAAGAATGTAGAGCTGCACTATTAGACTTGGCTTTGATTTTGTGACATTATTTTAATAGATTCAGTTAGAATCAACAAAGGTGACATTGAAGTAATGCTTTGACTCAGAGTTACAGTAATAATATCTAACTGCTTAAATCACTGTCGACTGTTATATGAGCATGTACTGTTGCATGAATATTGAGAGCAATATTCAAATACAAACTATATACTTGGACAAGCAATATAATGATTATAAAATCAATATGGTCTGTATGTGAAATCTATAGAAATATCCCAACAAACTCACCAGAACAAATCATTTAATACTTAATGATGACACACCGATTTTGTTTACAGTTTTAATTTGTATTTTATAAACTTTTTAATGCATAGCATTTAAGGGTTTTAATGTGACATGACATCGCCTGCACTTTCTTGAATGATGCGCACACAGGGTTACGCTGTAGCTTCACAGATGCAAAGGCTGTTTATCATCGCATTGAACATTTTCATCCATCTTTATAAAATTTACATTTTTGCCTAATTGTTGTTGTGTTTTTTTTTTACAATCACTAAGCTGGGAAGCAGCTAACTAACATTTATGGCCAACATTTATATGCAAAATCCAGTCCTAGAGTCCTAGAAATAACTGCTACACAGATAGACCAGAAATTGAAGTCAGTTTGATTTGAAGTTTGTATGACACTATGATACTATGATACTTTGTATGAACTATTTTCTCTGATGAACTCACAGAAGCTGCATTAGTGAAATTTGCCCACTGGGGGGCAAAAAAAAACTCTAAAACAAGCTGACCGACAAAAAAACTGTCAAGGTGTGTCAAAGTCCAGTATTTTAATCAAGACATTAAAGGTGCCATATTATATAAAGCAAGATTTCCTTGTCTTCTTTAATTATAAAGCAGGTCTAGAACCTACATTAATAGATAAGAGGCTCAGAGCCTCTCTTCTGATTGGCTCAGCAACCTGTTGTTGCCAGAGCTCCAGAGAGAAACCTGAGAGAGGAGACGTAAAACTACAATGAGATTGTATTTGGTACTTAAAACCACAAATATATCTTCTTATGGATATCAAACGTTCTAATAAAACATGACAAGTGTAAAATATTGGACCTTTAAAATGGAAAACTTCCATTTTATTTCCACATATAACAGTGGAGGAAATATTCAGGAGTTCCTGATGCTCAGGAGACAGAGTTAATTGACTTAGTTGCTTTCCACCACTGACCAGTACAGAAAATGTACATCCTATATATTTAGCTGTTGACTGAAGAGAAACATTTCACATTTAGCATTTAGATTTACCAAAACTGTTATCATTTATTATAGGTGTATCATTTTCCCAAAAACAACGTTTAAATCGTTTTTTATATATTTACAAAAACATTAAGCATTAAAATAAAACGTTTTACACATTTTATAGACTTTATCTGCAGATATCATGTATTAAGCGTAGTTATATTATTATAGTGTGCTGTACTGTCACCGGCGTTTCACAGTATTTGTAACAAACAGCTGTGAGAGATTTAGTTCCTGTCTTTAACACAGGGTGGTGTTGTTACACCGTCACAGGCACCAAGTTTCTCATCATGAGTCTGGAGGTTTTGTATTCAGAGGGGAGACCCTCATCACATTCATGGACATCTGAGGACAGGAGACATCCTTTAAAATTTATTTCAAATTTCTTTTTCTTGCTGTGACGTTTTTTGTTTTCTCTTTTCTTTCTATTTTTTAAGATGAACACAATCTGTGTAAATTCATTAGGCTACATCATAAAGTTGAGGAAATTGCCTTTGAAAGTAATTAAGAGAAATTGCATTGCCCGAATGTTTGTGGTTGTAACTTTAAAGAAGTTAGTTAGAGAATATAAAAAATGCATTCAGAACGATACTAACAGTTGTCGTTACACATGGTGGTTTATCCTGTTTTTCAATACTTACAAATACAACAAAATGCACATCTACATCTAAGTAGCTGACGGTGCGTGTGTGTGTGTGTGTGTGTGTGTGTGTCAGCAGCAGTGCTGCTTTTGTTGCTGCTGCTGTTGCTGGGGAGGGGTGGGGGCGCCGTCGTCATGGTAACAGATTACAGGCAAAGATATTTTCAGATCGCTCTATTAGCACTTTCTACTGCAGTGGCTTCAAACTACGAATTCAAAGGGACGCAACATTTCATTATTTCTAGACTAGGTTTTATTAAGGAAGTAAAATATATATTTGGCTAAACCGACACTTTTGGCTGTTTTATTTTTATTTTTTTAAATCACTTATACGCCTACATCAGAGCTAACTCTTTCTGTGACAAGCAGGGAAGCTGTGAGGAGGGGGAAGAGGAGGAGGAGGAGGGGTGACGGCAGATGCCTTTGCAGCAGAGGACCAAGGAGGATGTGAGTGAGTGTGTGTGTGGTTTTGTGGGACAAAATGCGGATTGGATTTTTGTCTGGACGCTGACATGTCGCCGTTTAAACTGCCAGATCTCATGGATGCAGTTGTGAGCGGAGTCTGCGAGTGAAAACACGGACAGTCGAAGCCGCAGTGCCGGGAGAAAATTCTCAACTAGTTAAAATGAGATGGATGGGACGGCCTGAACGGTACGCTTCTGCAAGGCTGGCCCACTTCTGAGGAAACAGTAGTTCCCAGGTTGCTGTCAGTCTTTTCCTGATTGAGGCAGCTCGGATGTTCTGTTGAGATTTATCACCCATCAACCTTTGTAAGGATGGAAAGTGGAGTTTTCCTGCCCAGTCTGGATCAGTTCATGCTGAGCCCACTTGTCACTTGGGTAAGTGATGCAGAAAGCTCTGATTTCCTGCCAAACACCATGATATCATCTAATCAATCTGTATTCTCTGTGTAACGTAGGTGAAGACATTTGTCCCAAATGATGGAGGCATGCATTTGGACTTTTCTGAATTGCTGGATGGAGTCTTTTTGAATGACATAATGACCCAAATGTAAGTCCTTGCTTTGATGTTAATGAGTTGCTTCATGCCAGCTTTGTTCTTGCAGTTTATATTTCACTTGTCACATTTCCAATGGAGGTTATTGTGAGCAGTGTCCAGATGGATATTCAGATTAGTAGCCAGTGTTTTGGAGCTGCTGACTGCTACAGACTTGACAGAGCATCTGTCATGAAGTTATGATTAACAGTGAGCTTTACAGGTACAAATGTGTTGTCAGTGGTTCAAACGGAAATCAGCATCATCAAACTGCGTCTTTCATTGATAATAAGGTAGCGTCTCTTCAAGATACAGTATCAAGTGTCTGCTAACATTCTTATCCAGGCACCAACAGTACTGGCTTTGTCACTCTGCAGTAATAAAGAGGATCTTTGTAGTCTGCATGCAGCAGTCTTTAAATGCAACTTCCTCATGACTTACAGGTTAGGATCTCTCAAGAAATGTTAGAATTAGCATACGAGTTATAGAAACACAGTCTGCACTGATGAATGTCAGCTTGAGACAAACACAAACTCTGCCAAGACATGGGGGACATCATATACACCGTCAAGATGCTACTTAAGAGATTATGATTTGGTTGCCTTATGTTCTTGAGCTTCCCTCACCCTGAACAAACACTAACGCATGGTCATCTGGCTGTTTCCAATTGTGACAAAGACGTGAGCAGAAAGGTTGAGAGCCCCTGGCTTTAGCCCTCGTGTTAGGATGGAGTGACACTCGCCAGTAGAATCCAAACTAAAACTGAACAGTTGCAAAGAAGAGGTAAAAAAAAAAAAAAACTGATGACCCAATGTACTCGTGGATAACACTGTCTAGCCACCCCAAGTCCACAGTATCCATTCATCCCACTTATCCCCCCAGGGTCACAATAACCAGCTCTAAATGCAAAACAATGCTGCACAGAGGGGAGGGGAAGAGGCGGGATAATCTCATGGATTGGGAGACCCTTTGGGATTAGGGCCTTGGTGCTGCTGTTTAGTGGCACTGGGACACAGATGGGAGGGAGGGAGGAGGAAGGACAGAAACAGGACAAACAGCGCAGAGATGGAGACAGGAAGGACAGCTATGTAGCATATCTGTGTCTCCAGTTGTTTATTTCACATACTGTGAGACTCCTTTCCTGAGCAACAAGGTGAAGTGTGACCTATATAGCTGCACTGGGGCCCGTGAATGATAACATTTGAACTTCAGTATGTGACAGTTCGGTGCCAGACTACAGTAGGCTGGAGCCAACAGCCCAAGAATCCAGCTAAAAGATTTCTTTGGGGCGGAAAGTCTAAAGCCACCCCGTTTGGCTCAAAAACACCCCTGTTTGGTGTCTGAAAGGAATGACGTCGCTCAGCCTAAAGTTAGGAATGAATAGAGACCTCATACATGTTTTCATGGTGATCTTTGAGCCAAAGCTTCCACCAGCTTGCAGCTTCCTCTCACCCCATCCCACTGACAACCATTTGTGTGTTTGCGAATAGCAGAAATGTCAAGTAAAATGCCTTTGTGTTGTTTCCCATCCTCAGAAATCCCTCAGCTACACCTAAGGGTGCAAACAAAGTGAGCAGGGATCCAAGTCAGAGGATGCAGAACCTCAACGTTCTTGTCCAGCAAATCAAGACATATTATCTGGTGAGTTTTGGATGTTCCCTCTTCTGGTTTCTCCGACATATAATGTGTTGTATAATGATTCCAAGCTACAGGCTGCTAAGCTTTACATCTCTCTACATCGGATTATGAACGTTTCATTTAGATGTTTCAATTCTACCGCAACTGTGCATCACGCACACACTGCATCACACATGCGCACACACCAGATACTGTAGTTGTACGGTACTTGTGTCCCAGCAGATCAACTAGTTCTTCTTAAGATGTGTGGCCTAAATATCAGCCATGTAAACATCTGTGTAATCAGCACAGGAGCGAGGTTAGAGCACAGCAGAGAGACACAAGTAAAACCACACACACAGCTTTAGAGTGACACATTAAGTCACGGGATTCGTGGTTAGCCACCACAGCTGCTAAGCTTTCAGATCTATGAAGATCACAAGAAAAGTAATTTCACTGAGGATGAGACAATCAAGTTCTATAGATTAGCACAGTCAAGGAATGATGGCTTTTCACTATTTTTGTTACCCCAGGTTAACTGATGCTATCAACAGCAGATCTAGTCAGTGTTCCTTCTGTAATTACTCTTGGCAATCACAAATGTCATGAATTTTCTCTGATCTCACTGAACACAACTCTCAGTGACCTGATTGCGTCTTGAAAAAAAAAAAAAGGCTCATCTTTGAGATAAACTGCAGCTCTTCATGCTTCTGCCCATATTAAAATGAATCTTATTCAAGTCTGTTGCAAGAAAAAGTACTGTAAAAATACTGTAGATGTTGGGAAGCTCTTTAACTGCTGTTGTATGTGAAAACCACATCCATACCAATCCAGTTTTGCAGAATATGTTTAGTAGGTATAATGTTTACCATGTTCACCGTCTTAGTTTAGCACACTATCGTGCTAGCATTTGCTAATTAGCACTAAAAACATAGAATAACTGAGGCTGATGAGATCAAATGACCTTCATATCATGTATGAAATAAATCAAAATTTATTAATAATAAATCAAACTAATGGAGCTCTTCAGATTTTGACCTGATGATGGTTCCAGATGAAAAGTTAATCACCAAAATTATTAAATCTTAACTCGGCTGCAAGGCCATGTATCCTTGACATATTTAAATGTGTGTACTGATTTCGCCGCCTAATCTGTATTTTCTAATACCTACACAGACCAGAGACCGGCCCTCAGTTCCACACATAAGCCTGGGAAAGGAGAAGATGTTTGAAGCTCTGTGGACAGTTAAAATTTTCCTTATGGTCAGAGTGGCAAAAAAATGTGACTGTTGGTTTAGGATAACTGTACTGCATCAAAGGCATCCCCACTGAATGCACACGCTTTAACACCATAAGCCACCTAAAGCTTAAAACAGGGCTGCACCAAACAGTTTTGGTGGATTTCACCACAGCACCAAGGAAACTGGCCCCACTCAGAGCGCTTGTCCACTTGTTGGCTGTGTTTCTATACATGTGTTGAAGCAGCTGCTATGTGCTATACATACATACGCTCCTGTTCTTTCAGGCAGTTTGGCTCAACCCCAAGAAATGTTTTACTGAGTTCAGTTTGTGCTAAAATGTGCTAATCTTCCTTTTTCTCAACCCATCTCCCTCGTCCCTTTCTGCCTCTCTCTGTTTTTTTTTTTTTGCAGGATAATCTGAGACAATTGATCATGATTCCGTTGCCAAATGTGTTGCTGCTTGGCAGGACTCCTTACTGTGGTATGCTCTTTTAAAGAAAACTCCTCTCTATTGGAGCTGCTAATTCAGTATATGTTTGGAAGCCTGATCTGTCTGTTTGCTGATACTCAATGCACCATGCATTGATTTCCCATAATTTGCCTATAATTAGGAGCTAAAGTGAAAATGATATATCCATAATAAAATATAAGATATGAAAACACCTTTGGTAGTGAAACCATAGTCAGCTATTAGTATTCATGTAATTGTTTAGGAAACAGCAACAATGTATAACAATGTATTTTTGTTTCTAAATACAGAGCAATTGGTTTCCCAGCTCTTTAAACTGAAAATGGTTTGACAAACTGATTTAGCTCTTGCTGATACAGTTTTAATTCAATTGCACGCTATCAGTCTGATAACCACACTGGCTTGTGTTGAGGCTTTGGCAAGTGGTGACCCAAATTCACTAGACAGGGCTCCAGTCAATTTAAATCCATGCCAGCAGCTCTCGGTACTTCAATCTGATAAATTTGATTTCAGATAATGAACTTTTTTTTTTTACTCCCCATAGAACAAAGTCTGGAAGAAATTAAGAAGCTTTTGCTGTTACTGCTGGGATGTGCAGTCCAGGTAAACACTAACTGACTTTCTGACGTATAAGATCAGTATATGAACATCTGCTTCTTATGCAAAGGACATGGTAGTTTGTTGTAGGATATTATGCCTGATTTGTTTGCATGTTAACCTCTTTAGCCTGGATCAGGCTGCATGAGTTGATTTTCTGGAGATCGAAACATTTCCATAATTTTCCATGTTCATTTTCAGTGTGAGAAGAAAGAGGAGTACATCGAGAGGATCCAGACGCTTGACTTTGACACAAAAGCTGCAATAGCTGCACATATTCAGGAGGTATCAGACTGAATATGACATGAGCTTTGAACACCGCAGCACTGTGTGACAGTAAATCAGTTTGTGTCTAGTTGTGCTGGTGACTGTAGACCAGATGCTGGGTGTACAATCATGTTGAATCGCTCTTTCCCCCATTGTGTTTACCAGTTAACCCACAGTCAGGAGAATGTGCTGGATCTGCAGTGGTTGGAGTCCAGTGAGATGAACCCAGATGAGGTGGAGGCCTCAGCGAGGAACATGGCCACACACCTCCGACACCTGTTGGACCAGAGGGACAACCATCTGGAGGTAACTATATTTGCAAACAGATGTTGGTATTGACTTAAATGTAATCTGTAACATGCTGCATTCCTCTTTCCCTTCCTTTCTGCAGACTATAGCAGAGCTAATGCAGGAAAAGGAGGGCGTAGTTAGCTTGCTCAATAGCCCCTCCAGCCCACAGTCCGGAAGCTACTCTCCCAGCATCCAGCAGCAGCAGCAGACCGGGTCCCAGCAACACCTGGCGGTGGAGTTGGCTGACTCCAAGGCCAAGATCAGACGCCTCAGGCAAGAACTGTGAGTACAAGTGGACAAAAAATAACAATAATTTAGTTTATTCACAAAAATGAAAACATACAATACAGTTAAAGAAGAAAGTGCGAGGGGGCAAAAAAACCTCTCAGGAGAACTAAAATACAATTTCAATGTTTTCAGTGTCATAAAAACATCTTACAGCAAACATGCCAGTGCATAGGAAAGCAATACTGAGATCTAAGTACAATGCAAATGGCATGAGGTCAAATATGCTTACAGTTATTTTAAGCATAATAATTGCATGTAAAAATATGATGAATAAAAACGTAAACATCCTTTGTAAGGATTTAGAGTCATGTGGATGATTCACTTGAAAAAATATACCTGCACCTGAGGATCAAGGTAGCTCAAATTACCGTGCATCAAATCAATATACATGCAAACTATCAACCACTATAAAAGAGTGGCAAAATCTGTGTGGGTCAATTGATCAGCCTTTTAAAAGTAAATTCTGTGTAAATTCACAGAAATTATGATAAATTCAAACTTTTTCAAAGACTGTGAATGAGGCAACAATGTTATGCTTCAAGTTTCATGTAAAAACCTGAATGATCCACCTCTCTGCAATTCACCTGCAATTCATTTTTTCCTCTGAAATGCATCAGTTTGCCAACATAGAGTAAAACAAGCTCACTGATAAAAGTTGTCACACAATTAACTACTGTTGGGTGAGATGTTTTCTCTTAGTATGGCATGGGTTTCTCCTCCGGATGGTTAATGGTAAAGAGGTGGCCTGGCTCTACTGTGGAGCTGCCAGTAGAGAGTGAATGAGAGACAGAGAGTGAGAGAGAGAGTGAGAGAGAGAGCGAGAGAGAGAGAGCGAGAGAGAGATACTACAGGATAAGAGAAGCCCTGGGGAGTTTGGCCCACATTACTGCCAGCTTGGCAGGTTCCATGGCTATGCACTGCCATTGACCCACATTGGCTTTGCATTGCTGCAGATACCGCATGTACACACACACACACACACACACACACACACACACACACACACACACACACACACACACACACACACAAACGCTGATCCGCTCAAGATCTCAGTTCCATTTTTGCCCTCCATCCCCATCTTCTGTGCTGTATTGTCCTCTCTTGCTGGGATGCTCAGATTCACACTGTTGCCTCTGAGCAAACACAATATCACTAAAAGCATCAAGTATGACTTGACTTTGCCCTTTTGAATGACCCTGAACTTCAATAGCTCTATAAAAGAATGTATTTTGTCATTAACATAATCTAGTATGTGTAGGTATGTGCAATACAAGTTTATAGCAACAGCAGTAACGAGGGCCTACTTGTTTTGATTTAACCATTAAGCAACTGAAATATATATTTTGTTGTCTTGCAGGAGTCAAAGGAAATGGGAAATAGTTGTGTGCTTACCCCTGCAGTATTTAAATATATATAAAACAGTTATATATATTTCAATAGTTTCATTAAAACTATTGCAGGAATGTAGTAAGTAGTGCACACTAACCTACTTTCTTGCTTGTCTCTCTGCATCGCATACCTGATGCCACCAGAGAGGAAAAGAGTGAGCAGATGCTAGACTGCAGACATGAGCTGGAGAACATGGAGGCAGAGCTGAAGAGGATCCAGCAAGAGGTTTGAAGTCAGAGAAGACAAAGAATAAATTGCAGTTCATTCTGATGGTGACACACAGTAACCCCTGACCGCTCTGCAGATTATACAGATTAATGCATACCATGCTTTGCTGCAGAGCAGTGCTTAATGACAGCAAATTTAAACCTCTGAACTCTGACTCAGAGATGCAACTAAAGCTTGTATGGATTTGTCTGAACAGGAGATCTCAGTATGTATTCTCTGTTTTAGCGTTTGTCTCAGGTTTTCTGCACTAGTTAGCATAGTTCATACCAAATATTTACTGGAATTTAAAGCAGCATTAATCAATCATTTGTGCCACCTGGGGAGCAGTGGAAGATTGATATATTACGAACTTTAAAGTTGACATCTAAAACATGTTAGCAAACAGCTGCCTAATTATACATCCAGCAGACACAGTAACATTAGCATTCATTTGGAGTCTTGTCTCTGGCCACCTGATGAAAGTATATATTCACTTTGCTTTTAGGTCTCCACCAACCAGACTCTTTAGTAGATTCATGCTCCACTAACTAGTCTCTCACTTTGTTAGCCATTTTGGTGCAGGTTGATAAAGCACAGTGGTTTTATCAGGGGTTTATATAAACTAAAAGAATTTGCTAAAAAATAGCTACTCATTGCGCCACAAAGCCTATGAAACTGAACCAAAACAGTAAAAAGTTGTAAAACCAAAACAACGAGCTTAAAGACACTAAAACGTTTCACAGAGGGGAACTGCATTCTGTGATAATTCTTTGTGGTATTTTTACTATGTGCAACCCCTACTCACATACATGTTGTCATTTGACTCAGTGTTAATATAAAAATATTGACAAGTGCAGCTTTAAATATGACAAAGTGACGTGACAAATGATAAAAGACACTTAATGAACGCCAGTTAGGTCGAATAAGTTTCCCACAGTAAAGACTACTTGAGATTAACATTGAAACATTTACTTTAGATTGAGGTGCTTGCTATGAATCATGCCTCTGTCCGAACCTTCACCAGAACTCCCAGCTGCTTGTGGACGCCCGCGCAGCCCGCACCTACCGAGACGAGCTGGACGCCCTGAGAGAGAGAGCCATCAAGGCAGACAAGCTGGAGAGTGAAGTGGGACGTTACAGAGAGCAACTGCACAAGATGGAGTTCTACAAGACCAAAGTGGAGGTAGGTGGATGTGGTCTTATTAATGTTTTACCAGTAAACTTTGAGACATGAATGTGTGTGAAATCACTAAATACTCTGATGCAACAGTAACATTATTTATTGGATGATAAGACTAAGAAATAAGACGTGTATTCATTGATCATTAGATATGGACATGAACAGTGAAGGATGGAAACTGAGACATTTTGAGTTTGTGGAAGGTAAAAAAAAAACATATAAATCTGATTGGTGCTTTTGTGTGTATTTCAGGAGCTGAAGGAGGATAACAGAGTGCTACAGGAGACCAAAGAGGTGTTGGAAGATCAGTTGGAAGGCTGGAGGGCGCGCTCAGATAAAGTCCACCAGCTGGAGAAGCACGGTCTGATGCTGAAGGCACAGATCCATGACATGGAACAGGTCAGACATCTGCAAGGAGATGCCTTCTTTGTTACCTTTTCTGTAGCCTCGTTTTAAGCCTCTTCCACAAACGGCATCAGAGATCGGTGGTAATATAATTCACAAAAAAACCTAGAGCTCAACACTCAATCCCTAAGCCCTCACTCTTATCAGACTGGACAGAATCTGTGTTGATAACTTTGTGTCTTCACTTTAGGAGCGGGAGGCTGATCGGAGGCGTGTTGAGGAGTTGCAGGAGGAGAACCTGACGCTGTGTTTGGCTCAAAGGAGGAGCATGGAGGAGTCTCAACTCCTGGGCTGGGAGTTAGAGCAGCTCTCCAAGACCACGGAGAACACCCAGGGTAAGAACTGGTGTTAAGGTGAAGTGACGACACTCTATGTTAATGAATGGGATAGGTTGAGTAGATCAGGAGATGGGTATGTAAATTATGTAAGTTTGCACATGCATGATTGCTTCCATCTATTAGATATTTTTATCTACTTAATTAAAAGACCCAAGAACCTAGGTCAAAAAGTTACATTTTAATGTATTTGAATGCAGTTTGTACGTAAGGTGAGGCAGCCCAGTTTAGCTCCCACACAGAGCTGGTCTTAGTACTAATTTACAGAAAGTTAATCGTGTTTTTGTGTTTAAGGTCCACAGACTCTGAGTGAGGAGGTGAGTGAGCGGACACGCAGTCGGATGCTGAAGCTGGAGAAGGAGAACCAAAGTCTCCTGAGTACCATAGAGGAACTCAGAGCAGTCTCTATTAGCAACAGCACACAGCCCAAACACAGCCACCACCATGAGCGTGAAAGTGTCTGCCAGGTGGTCAGCAGCATCAACAACTGGACCTCATCAACAGGCGAGCCCTCAGGGTTACAAACCTCCTGCTCAAATACAGAAAACCACAGTAATGCATTCCCACTCAGTACAGTACCACAGCAGATGCTGAATGGAGATTTAAACTCCCATCGGCGACTGCACACAGAGGAGCCGAAGGGAGTCCAGAGTGAGATCCTCCTCACAGACAATCCAGACCTTCATATTCAAGAGAAAGGACAGCTAGAGGACGGAGACAAAAGCGAACATCTCAAAGAACTAATGTCGGATCTGGAAGTTTTAGAAAACGCTCACAATAGGCTCCATTGTTTTGTTGGATCATGTGATCACTCCCCTGGCTCGAACAGCATCTTCACAGGTCTGCCAGCACGTTCCTCCTATGCCAGCAAGCACACACATCGGCTGGAGGCCAAGTGCAAGGCCCTGGACACGGTTAATCAGCATCTACAGGCTTCTCTTGACAACTCTGGTAAGAACTGTAGATCAAAATAAAAGTTAAAGATTCGGAATTTGATTAAACAGTTACTAATGAATTTATTTCTTCTACCTCCCTCCATCTCGGTAGACCGGAAAATTCAGCGTCTGGAGGCGGAGGTTCAGGAGCTGGAGGCAGAGAACCAGAGTCTGCAGGCCACTTTAGAGGAACTTCGGATCGCCGCGAGACGCCTGGAGCAGCTGGAAACAGAGAAGCAGAGCCTGGAGCAAGAGACTACAGCGCTGGAGAGAGACAAGAGGCAGCTCGAGAAGGAGAATCGACGACTCCGCCAGCAGGTTGTTTTCTAGGAACAAGGTGTCAGTTGCTGATCTAAGTTAGGATAATGTTTGTCAGACTCACATTGCCTTCGAATAAACTCACTACTTCCTCCGTCTCAGGCTGAAATCCAGGATGCCAACTTAGACAGCAGTAATGTCTGCATGGCCGGCCTGGAGAGGGAGATGCGTTTTCTAGTAAAGGAGGTGGAGGGGTTAAGAGAGACTGCTGAGAGAGTCAAAGGCTTGGAGAGAGACAACAGGGAACTGAGCAAGCAAGCTGCTATCGACCAGAGGACTCTGGCCACCCTCAGAGAGGTGAGGGGAGGACATTCGCTGCCATGCTCTGTTTGCCCTAGGATTTTTACAGCCATAGCGTGCATGTGTTGCGCACACATACAAACACATTCACCTGTGTACTCAACACAAGTATCTGACCATAAGCCGACTACAAACATTTATTTAAAGCAGGGTAAAACATAAATAATGGTTGTTTTTGCTCCTCCTAATCATTGACAGTAACCGTTGGAAAGCATTCTCCTGGTTTGAGTGACAGCTTTCATTCAGTTTATGTCGTAATATGAACATGAGCAAAAAAATCCTTCTCCTAAACAATCAAATGAAATTGGCTCTGTATGATTAAAATCCAAAAATAATAAAAAACAATAATGAAAATAAAATCCCATGAATAGTAAAAACTTATTGATAGCAAAGTACACTGTCCATCTTTAGGAGCTGGTGAGCGAGAAGCTGAAGATGCAGCAGAGAGACAACGAACTGGAGAGGCTGACACATGAGCTGGAGATGAAGGTCCTGAGTCAGGAGAGTGCACAGCAGGCTGAACAAGAGACACCGGACGACAGGTGCTTACAGTCTGCTCAGCATTTTATCCTTCCATCCTGTCGCCTTTGAAGGGAACATGATAACCAATGAGAAGTGGTATAATATTAGAATATTTCCTCCATGCAGCAGGTTCAAGATGCTGGAGTCAGAGCTGGAGTCGTCTCTCAAAAAGTCTCTGCAAATTAAAGAGGACAAGATGGCCGCTCTGGAGGCTCGTCTACAGGAGTCCTCCACCCTGAACCAGCAGCTACGCCAGAACCTCAAGACTGTGAGTCTTGAGGCCTGGTTAAAAAAAAAAAAAACTTTAAAAATATATCATACTTTGTTACAGATCCAAGTGTTTTGACCCCTTTCCCACATACAGGTGAAGCTGAGCTACGAGGCTCTGCAGCAGAGGCAGGAGGAGGAGAGGACAGCATCAAGCCCCACCCCTCCGACTGAGACTGGCAAAGCAATGAGTGAATGGCTGCGTGAAAGCCAGGAGGCCACCAAGGAACTGCTGAAGCTCAAAGACCGTCTCATTGAAGTGGAGAGGAATGTAAGTTGAGGCCCTTCATTAAAGTAGATAACCAAAAGAATGGCCTCTGTAGAACCAATAAAGGGTTGGTTAAAGGTCAAAGGTCTCCTCTCCTCTCCTTTCCTCTCCAGAATGCGACACTGGAGGCAGAGCGCCAGGCTATGCAGGCCCAGCTGAAGCAGTTAGAGAGTCAGTCTGACAGCCAGCAGGCTCAGATCCTCGCCCTGCAAAGGCAGGCTGCCTCACTGCAGGAGAACAACACAGCCCTGCAGACACACAACGCTAACCTGCAGGTACCATTACAATACATAGTATTCTCCATAGTATGCTTAACATAATAGCTCACAAATATTTCCAATATAGTCTTATAAATGACCGGCGAATCAACTTCTCCTCCTTCTCCAGGTGGAGAAATCTACGCTGAACTCGCAGAGCGCCTCGCTCATGGCCCAGAATGCTCAGTTGCAGCAGCAGCAGACGGGGACAGAAAGTGAGCGGGACAGCGCCTTGCGGGAACGTGAAGACCTGCGCAGTGTCCACGAGCAGCTATTACGAGATCACGAGCGGCTGGCAGCTCTGCATGAGCGGCAAGCCATGGAGTATGAGGCCCTGATGGGCAAACATGGCTGTCTGAAAAACGCTCACCGCACACTGGAGCTGGAGCATCGCACCCTGCAGGACAGGTGGGGGAGAGGAGGCACTATCGATGAATTGTCAACACATGGGACACGAGAGTCCTGTATTTCATGTGTGTGTCTGTGTCTGTATTGGGGGCATATTCAGATACAATAGCCTGCTGCAGCAGAGGGCCAAGCTAGACGACCTGGAGAAAGCCCTGAGGGAGGAGCAGATGAGGATGGCTCTGGAGAAAGAACAGCACAAGACAACGGCGGCTGAATGTTGCAGGCTCCGTGATGAGAAGGACTGGTGAGGAGGCAAACTTAACACACCCATAATACATGGACACTCATGAACACCTTACCTTATCGACTTTACAAGACGATACGCTCACTGTCTCTGTCACATCGCTCCCCTTCACCTTCACAATAACAAAAGCACATGCATGCACTTTCTCACACTGACATCACCGTACTTTTTTTTTTTTTTTTTTGAGGCTGAACCAGACTTACCATCAGCTTCTTAACGACAACGAGACGCTGACAGCAGATCACAAGCAACTCAAGAGCCAGCTGAATGAGGCCAAGCTGGAACACACCTGGCTGGAAGCCGACTTCTCCAAACTCAAGAAGGAGTTTCAGCAGCTTGACATCACCTCCACAAAACTCAACAACCAGTGTGAGGTATGGACGCGCAGCAGGTGACGCTGCGGTGGTGAACTGCCTCAATGCCTCAACCTGTATTTGTGTGTGTTTTGTGTATATATTACGTTTACGCGTGTTTGTCTATGTGATATTTAGCTGCTGAGCCAGTTGAAGGGAAACCTGGAGGAAGAGAATCGCCACTTGCTCAGCCAGATCGAGACCCTGATGCTACAGAACCGAACGCTGTTGGAGCAGACTATGGAGAGCAAGGATCTGTTTCATCTTGAAGAGCGGCAGTATATGTAAGGAAAATTGGGCCAACACCATGACAATAGATAATGTAGCATTAAATAGAGTTTGAACTGTTGTTGTTACTTTCAGTGTTAGGCTACTTTGTTAATGAGCTAACACATTAAGGCCCAGTTTTTGATACGTGCAGACAGAAGGAACTTACACTATTTATGACACCTAAAATACCACAGTACTCAACAGCAAGGCCAACTTTATAATTGATGATCTCATTTTTCTCTCTGCACGTCTCTGTTCAGTGACAAGCTTAATGATTTGAGGAGGCAGAAGGAGAAGCTGGAGGAAAAGATAATGGACCAGTACAAGTTTTATGAGCCCTTGCCTCTTCATAAGTAAGTCTGTTAAAGGGTTAACCACAATTTTTTTTACCAGGAGTAATGACTAACTACTTGCTAATGACTAACTATGACTGTGAATAACTGTGGCGGGTGAAATTTCTTTTTACACATTTAGCAGTTTCTACATTTTGACCTCTATGTTGTTATATAATATAAAGTTATATAATTTCAGTTCACACATGATACACTTCATATACACCATTATTGAAAAGTTAATACATTTTCTCCATCTTTGTATAGCAGGATGTGCTAACTGGCTAGCAGACTGCATTTTGAAACCACATTGTTAGCAAGCAGTTGTTTATTTACGCATCGAGCAGAGCGAATCAAAACAGTAAAGTTGCAGGGCGTAAAACCAATACAATGAGCTGTCAGATGCTAAAACGCTCCAAGAAGCTTAGAGTAATCACAGAGATAGATAATAATCATTACGAGCAACCCCTCTAACATACAAATAATTATTTGCTATGTGTAGCAGTCCATTGCAGACCAGCCTGGCTCCTACTGTACCTGTTGTTCATGTCTCACTCAGTATGGTTTGTCATTCCTCCACAGACGTGGAAACTGGATAACTCTGAAACTGAAGAAGTTGATGAAATCCAGCAGCCGTGAGCATGGACCGGAGCGATCCTCCACACCCAAGCACTCAGGTGTTACTGATCCACACCTCTCCTCTCACGACAACGGCTCCTTTCTCAGCTCAGATGGCTCTGGAGGCTCAGCCTCCACCTCAGCAGGTGATGCCATCTCACCCCAGCGTAACAATAGTGAGTATAACCTTCATGAATTCACCAGATCATCTCCCATTGACTTGGCAGAACCGACCTCATCAGAGTACCAAAGTCCCCCCTTCACTGCTTCAGCAATAGACCACGAAGTAAGATCATCTGAGGCAGGGCACAAAGATCATTCAGGAGTGTGTTCATGTGAGGTCCAGCCTGCAGACAGAGGACAGAGAGACATGGGTGAACTCATAGACGCGGCAGTTTCATCCACATCTGTAGCTTCATTTGAAGGACAAACATCTTCCCAAAATTTGACAAAACTACCCCCTCCACCGCATTTTTCAAGGAGACGTGAAAGCTCAAATAAATGTATTTAAAGTAACCCTGTTTCAGCACTGTTGTCATAGTGGTAAGATCTTCACACAGTAAGTGTGTTAAGTTAACAAAAGCTGGAAATGAATAGCAAAAACTGTTAATTAAACCTTCTATAAACACTTAAATCTTAATAATAAACTTAAATCTTGATAATTCAACAGTTCCTAGTGAAGGTCAAGTCAGTCTGCAAATCATTATGTGAAATAATGGAAGTGTTGCATTGTATTCAGTGTGTTTAAAATCAAACACATGTTGTGTGTGTCATGTCCAAACTGTCATTCTTCCTGATGCATGACGTGTGTAAACTTTCCTCAACAGTCCTTAATGTCTTCCCTGTGTCTTTCACTTGTGTGTATGTATTTCTTCACGCCCTCCATACCTCCTGATTCCTCCCTTCCCTTGTCTTTTCCTTCCCTTCCTATCCTCATCCTCCCTCACTTTCCTCTCTTTCTGCTTGCATCCATCACCTCCCTCCCATCCTCTCCGTCGACCTCTCATGTGGCCGTACTTGCCGTGAAAAAGCCACACTGAAAATGTTTCCCCGTATGAGGAACAGGCTGAAGGACAGAGACAAAGTCAAGTCCATCTTTCGTCGATCCATGTGTAAGAAGGCCTGTGGTCCAGTGTCTGTAGCCTTTTATTTAACTCCTAACTTTATTATACTGGAGTGTCTATGCTTTGTTATCATCTATCACATGCCATGATACTAATGTAACACTGGCTTGAGTAGGAGTCATCATCAGCGTACATACAGTATGTTAGTAATGTGTCCATCCATGACAACCTCATTTCACCACATTAACTTATTATACAATATTTTTTATGATTTTACAGATTTAAATATCATCACATTACCTTTCTATGAGAGTGGTTATATTTGGAGACAGTCTGGGGTATTTTGTTAGAACAATGGAGGTCACAGAAATACTGCATTGCAGGAGGACAGTGATGCTGCATGAGCTCTGCCCCACCAGGAGCAAGCTGTACTATATATATACATATATATATATATATATATATATATATACAGTATAAATCAAGAATTTTAGATTATT